AACCCCACATCCGAGGCAGCTATTAACTTCCTGTATAAACTATTCGCTAGGGTTTGAGTTGTAGACTGCATTGTCACAGACAATGGAACGCAATTCACGTCTACCGAATTTAAACATCTCTGCGAGGATTATCTAATCGAGCATATAACCATTCCGCCATACCACCCAAGAAGCAATGGGCAAGCGGAGAGATTCGTGGATACGTTCAAGAGAGCCCTGAGAAAGGCTAGTGGATCACCGACGGATAAGTCAATCCAACAGTTCTTACAAGTTTACAGGGTCACTCCGAATGCAAACATCGAAACGTCGAAGACACCTGCTGAGGTCATGTTCGGACGCAAGGTTAGATCAATTTTCCACAAGTTGTTACCAAACCAGGATAGGCCAAACCTCAAAAAACCGATAACAAAAAAAATGGTATGAAGTTGGCGAAAGAGTTTTCTACAAGATTCATAGAAATAATAGGACCTTTTGGGAGTCCGGCACTATTGAGAAACAAATAGGCAACATGGTCTATATGATTAAGGGACCAGATTTCGTGCACAATCGTCACACTAACCAAATCCGGAAAAGATGCTCGAACAGTGAGGTGACCAGATCGCCCGAGGAGGACATCATGGACACAGTGTTTGATACTTTTCAGGTTCCCATACCAGAGACAGCTCCTGAGAGTAGGAGGTCAGAAAGAAAAAGGAAATCAACGGAGTTGATTAGGGTGAACCCAAAACAAAAACGTTATTAATTCCCAGACGGGATATTTTCAAAGGGGGGTGTTACACCGGCCTCTAACACAAGGGAATTACACCGGTTCTCACTATATATATAGTGTCAGTAGTACCTACCCGTAGTAGTAGCGACAGTACTACACTGCCTAACTGGGTAGTACCCGTTTCCTACCTTTGTATCTGTGATGTTAAATACACTTGTTCCTTAACCCAACTTCGACTTGATTTTCTTCCTTTACTATTGTGCCACGACACAACAGTTACGCACCCCGATTCTCTATCCTTTTAAGCTTAACGATTTTTTTAAATATTTAGACGTCTCCAATTTTCATTTTTATTTCTTCTTTTTTATCCGTACCCTATAATTTTGTAATTTAAACCTAGATCTGTACATCAATATTAGATTCTAATTATATAATTATGAAATGTAGAATTAATTTACTATATAATGTTGCTTCCACAAGACACAGATTTTTTTTAAATACTAACGATCCTAACGTACAGTTCATCACTATTTGCTTTCATTTGGCAACGAGCCTCGAAGAAGGAAAACTCCGATTTCAAATGCGGTTCACAAACGTAAAACTCTACTTGATACGGAGACCACAACCGAAAAATGACGCATAGTGGGACCGTGGCTCTACCCCCCCACCCGTGGATGCCGACAGGGTTAGCCTAATATAATACGTGTATTTTGGCACGTCAGGGTATTTATAAATGGCAGCTAAAACTCGAACAAGTCTACGGTGATTAAACCTCTAAATATTTTCTATCAGTTAATTCCGGTAAAAAACAAAAAAAAAAAACAGCAAAACCTTTAGACACAAAATGAAGATCGAATTAATTGTATATATAATTTATTTGGCTACCGTATATACTCGCATATCATGCGACTTTTGAAGACCTAGTTCTGTAGTTAATTTTAAGAGGGTCACATTATACACGAGACATAAAATTAGCGTATGTACTTGTTAGCCCTGGCTACGTCGTTAAGCAAACTATACGTAGTGTAATTAGCTTCAAAACTAAATCTTTAGAAGACGCGCCATAACCACGTATATACGGTAATTTATTAAGCTTCTATTTACAATAATTTACGGTTCTCTGTAGGTAAGAAAAAGGATTAGGGCATAGAATATTTAACCGAACTAAACACAAGGACGAAATTATGTCATCCACATTCATATGAGTTCTTTGGTTTGCCATGCTAATTCATGACGGCAGCGGCTAAGCGACATAAATTCTCCTCTCTCCATTGGCATTGCTTTTAGGGCGCCTCAGGCACCAATTTTTAAACCTAGCCTTCATTCTTGGGAAGCATAAGCTTAATAATATATTTTTGCAAGGCAATAAAGCCACTAAGACACAAGGATTTATACGGTGTGGAAAATTAGGAACAGAAACATTAAGGATGATCGGGGTGAAGAAAAAGTAATCAGATAACGATTGACATCGCATTTAAATTTTTGCAGATTAAAGTTGGCTGGAAAGCATGGAGCCGGATGGTTGGGCCACAAGCGAGAAGTGCGAGAAAATGAATTGTAAGCATAGAATTTACGGCGACATCTATCCAGCTCAACTGTAAATTGATGAGATCACGACGCCAGTCTAATACCGCGCTTAAATTCAAAAGGTGTAGGTAGCGAAGAGCTCATTCGAACAATTACCATGTTTTGTAATATCAATGAATACTCGTTGTCAACTTTCGTAATGCTCGTTGTAGTAGAGACTTTGTAATCGCAGATACAACTATAGTAACGCTGTTGAACAATACTGGTGTCAGACGCCTTCAAATATCACTCGCACTGATAGTACTTGCTCGATAATACTCGCTTGCAAGTAACTACCGGATCTGTATAGAAAATAGTGTAGAGAAGAGAATAACGATCCGTATAGTAATAGAGGATAGAATAGAAATAGTGATCATTTAGAGGTCAACCGACTTTCTACTCATGCGGATCTTCCATGGTCACATGATCTACTTAATTCAATAATGGGATCGCCTGTGTTTGCTCACTGGCGATCTATGTTCAAACTCAGCAGTGACACTTTATTATTATATAAAACCATGAAAGTATTTATAGAAAAGACACAGAAAGATAACCTTACGGCGGTGGAGAATTGACTGAAGTCGAGAAGGCAAATGAGGACCAGTAATGTTGCTGATTCTTCTTTGGCTTTTATCAAGAAGCTTGAATGGAATATGGAACAAGTTCAAGTTTAAATAAGTAATCCTACGCGTACATGGGACGAAGTGAATGGAAACCCTGAATTCAAAACAGAGGAAAGCATAGAGGAATTAATTCACTACCTTCTCTAAAAGATAATGCTATTCACAACTAATAAAGAAAAAGAATTAGGGGAAGCTGCGATCGATTCCGTCCTCAAAGAATATGGTATTTAACACATGGGACGAAGGAGAGAAATTGTCAGGACTCAGTCGGCATTTCCTTAATGGGATGACACAGACATTTCTTCTTTGAATAACATGGGAGGCGTGCTGGTTTTGGGTAGGGTAACCTGCAGTTGATCCTTTTTACCGCCTTTTTTATCTGTAAGAGGATGCAACAGAAACGTGGTTCTACAGAAAGATGCTGAGAATACCCTGGGCGAGAAAATTTTAAGAGAAATGGTAACAAACAGGACATTCATAATGAGAAAGTGTTGAAATGTTTGGAAAGCGTAACGACGAAATTGTATTGGAGAATTTGACACGCACAGAATATACTGGATGTCGTGGATGACAGGACAAGCAGTTTGGGGAGACAATAAAAAAAACATAAACATAGGTACGAGCAAACAAAAAACTGGAAGTGGTGGAGAGGCATGATCGCCCACGTTCAGAACGGACACAGCGCATAAAAGAAAATTGGATTTCGCTCACAAGCGGGTGGGATATCCCTTTTTAGTCGGTGGGTGAAAGAAACTTTGAATCCATGAATCCATCACTATAAGGCAAGCCCCCACCCTACCGGTAGATATCTTAACTTTATATATATATATATATATATATATATATATATATATATATATATATGTGTGTGTGTGTGTGTGTATAATACATCATCTATTATATATATATATATATATATATATATGTATAATGCATTATTATATATATGTGTGTATATACATGAATTATATATATATGTATAATACATTTCATGTATTATACATATATATATATATTTAATGTATTATACATATATACATGCATATATATATATATATATATATGTGTGTGTGTGTGTGTGTGTGTGTGTGTGTGTGTGTGTGTGTGTGTGTGTGTGTGTGCAGATATGTAGAAAAATAACCTGTTAGGTAAATACTCGGAGTTCTTTAGTATTTTTGTTTTTATCTTTAAAAAACAAAAGTAGAGCTTAAATTATAATTATTTTTAAATATTCAGCTCTCGTTTTTGAAACATGAAAACTCTTATGTAGCGAAGTAATCATACTTTTTTTTAAAATAATTATATATATATATATATATATATATATATATATATATATATATATATTTGAGGATAGATGTGGTTTGCGACTCTGGGTTTCACGCTTTAGCGATCGTCAGACTGACGATCGCTAAAAGCGTGAAACCCAGGTCACAAACTCACATCTATCCAACCAAATATGTCAGCTCTATCTCTGATATTGAGCGCTTTCCGCTGCATATAATATATAAATAATTATACATATATATTTATTTATATTTATATACACTTTTCACACACACACACACACACACACACACACACACACACACACACATATATATATATATATATATATATATATATATATATATATATTAGATTAATGGTTATTGTTGAAAATAATAATATAGCTTTGTTTAGTTTTTAAAAAATAAAGCGTTTAGAGGTCATTTGATAAAACTCGCCTGAGGATACAGCAAGTTTGAAACCAAGGTAGCCTATTTAAGTGACCTCCTGATTTTTAAGCATATATATATATATATAGAGAGAGAGAGAGAGAGAGAGAGAGAGAGAGAGAGTGTGGGGGGTATGTCTTCGTGGCATGAAATCAATTGATGTTTCTTGCCGTTAACTGACGGCCAAGGATTAATAATAAAATAAAAATAAACGTTAATCCGCTTTTCAGCTGAGTTGAATCTTCGCTTTCTTTTTAAACTTGCTGTAAGCTAATCTTTCTGATACATTGAAAAACATTTCCGCATGTCTTATTTTGTTCACAGAACGAAATAAAATAAACAACCTTTTTTTGTTTTCCTTTTCATTTTGGCTTTTACATCCTTATGTTCTTCCTGAAATCCTCGTTGTTTCTTCGCATTAGGAGTTTAATCATTCCTTATTTTTTTTATTCCTTATTCATCCCCTGTCAATCTTCTTTGTGTTCTGTTTTGTTCACTGCTTTGCTTGTTCATTGCCGCCATGTTTGACTTTCTTTCTCTTCTGGATTTGGATTGGCTACTTCAGCGCCGTCATTCGTTTTTACTCTCAAAATCATTCTTTCTTTTTTTTTTCTCGCTATTATCAGACGACGTTTTATTTAGCGCTTTCGTCTCTTTCTTTCTCTTCATCACTTTATTTTCACTTTGTTTTCATTCCTATTTGCGTTTCTGTTGCTAGATGTTACATAATTTTTCGTCTTCCATTTTTAATTCATTATGTTTTTTCTTTCCTTCTTTTTTCTTTCTTTATCGTTTTTTTATTCTTTTGTCTTTTTCATTTTTTCCTTCTTTTATTTCCGTTCTTTTTTTCTTTCGTTCTTGTTCATTCCCTCTTTTCATTCTTTCTTTTTTTTGTTTGTTCTTTTTTATTTTTTTTCTTTAACGTTATTTCTTTCTTTTTTTTCTTGCTTTCTTTTTCTGTCTTTCTTTGTCATTCAATTCTTTTTCTTTCTTTCCCTCTTTTTCCTTTTTTTTCATTTTTTCTTTCTTCTTCTTTCTCTTTCTTCTTTCTTTCTTTTTTTTGTCGTTCGTTCGTCCCTTTTCTTTCTTTATTTCTTTCTTCCTTTTTCTTTCTTTCGTTTTCTTCCTTTCTTTCTTCGTATTTTTTCTTTCGTACATTTTCTTTCTTTCTACCTGTTTTTGATCGTTCATTCTTCTTTTCTGTTTGATTTACCATTTCTTTCATTTTGTCCATTATTTATTCTTTTTCCTTCTTCATTTCTTGTACACTTCTTTCTTTCTTTCTTTTTTTCTTTCTTTAATTTGTCATTCCTTTCAGTATTTTCTCAATTTTTCCTTTAAGTTTACTTTCATTCATTCATTCTTTCTTTCTTTCTTCCTTTTCATCCATTTTTTCTTTCATTCTTTCTTTCTACCCAACTTTCTTTTGACATCAGTTCTTACATTCCCTTCATTTTTCATTCCTTTTTCATTTATTTGATGTTTAAATTTTTATTTATTTCTTTTGATTTCACTCTGCATTTTTTAATTTTTTTTTTTTTTTTCGCTTCTGATTTTCTGGAAAATTAATTCATTCATTTTTCTTTCTTTTTCAGTCATTAGTTTTTCAGTACGTACATTCTCCACTCTTTTTCCCTCTATTCTCTTTAGTTTTCCTTTCATTCCTTCCATTATATGTTTCTTACTCTTGATTTGCCATTATATCCATTGTATCTGAAATTTTTAATCATCTCTTCTCCTCCTCTTTCTTTCGATTTTTTTTTTATTTTTCCTTAGTTTCATTTCATATTTTTCATTTTTTCATTTGATTTGAGGTTTATATTTTTCAGTCTTTTTGACGTTGATTTCCTTCCTTTCTTCATTCTTCACTTCCTCCCTTCTCATCTTTCTTCCTTCCGTCCTCCCTTCCTTCCTCACTTCCTTCCTTCCTCACTTCCTTCCTTCCCTTCTTTCCTTCCTTCTTACCTTCATTCTTACCTTCCTTTTTTCCTTCCTTACTTTTCCTACATTCTTTCCCTCCTTCTTTTCTTTCTTCCCCCTTCCCTTCGTTCCTCCCTTCCTTCGCTCCTTTATTTTTACCTTCTTTCCTTTCCCCCTTCCTTTCTTCCTCCCTTACTTTTTCCTTTTTCCGTTCATTCTCCCTTCCTTCGCTCTTTTCTTCTTTCCTCCCTTCATGCTTTCCTTCCTTCTTTCCTTCTTTACTTCCTTCCCAACTTTTTCCTCCCCCCTTCCTTTCTTTCCCACCTTTCTTCCTTCCTCCCTTCCTTTCTTTCTTCCTTACTTTCTTCCTCCCTTACTTTTTTCTTCATTCTTTCTTACCTTCCTTCTTACCTTCCTTTCTTTCTCTCTTCCTTACTTTTTCCTTCAATCTTTCCTTCGTTCCTTTCTTCCTTCCTTCCTCCCCTTTTTCCTTCCTTCCTTCCTTCCTACCTTTTTTCCTTCCTCCGTTCCCCACTTCCTTCATTTTTTTCATTCCTTCTTACTTTCCTTCCTTTCTTCCTCTTTTCTTCCTCTCTTACATTTTTCTTCTTTCCTTCCTTTCTTCTTTCGTTCCTCCCTCCCTTCCTTCGTCCCCTCCTTTCTTCTTTCCCACCTTTCTTCCTTTCTCCGTTCCCCTCTTCCTTCTTTCTTTCCTTTCTTCTGATACTTCTATTATTAATCCATGCCTTCCTCCTTTTTTGTAAGAATTCTTTCTTTGATTCTCTTTTTTCCTTTTTTCTTTATATATATATATATATATATATATATATATATATATATTCCTGAATAAATCATTTTAAGACAACTTCTTCTATTTCTTCCGTACCTTTCTTCGTCTTTGATTTTCTCTTTATGATGAAAGAAATAAGGAGCACCAAATAAAACAAAATAAAATATTTCGGAAACTAACATAAGTGCATTTGTACCTAACTGCTGTCAAATTTTGTAACAAGAACAATAACCCCATAAAACTGCTGTACACATGAACAGAAAGATTACTTAAGGATTCCTCGCCATTCCGTTTTAACGTTTTTTCATAGCGTTAACCATTTGTCTTTATCAGTTCATCACAGAAAACAGATTCGTGTGTGTAAAAGTTCAAATATGAGAAAGAAATTGCTCCAGATTACGAAATTAAGAAAATGTCTATGTTTGCATTCAATAACTTTCAAATATTTAATTTTTTTTGTTTTAAATCTGACCAACATTTTTAAATATCAATAAAAATACCAGCGATGCTGGATATGCAATGTTGGATGTGCGGCTGGTGTAATCGGAGAGCCGAGTTTCAATTCCAGTCGGGGTCGTTATATTTATTTCATTTGCAAATATCCTTTAGAAATTTATAAGTCCACCTCTTCTCCCCAGCTAAGGATTAATTAGTATGAATAGTATCAGTGAATAATTACTATCTCTAAAATATTCTTACAATCTGAAAATAGTTTTTAGCATTAAATAACCTACAAAAGATCAATAAAACTTAAAATCAAACCAGTCACTCAAGGTTTGTTAATGTTTCTTCAGGACGTGAGAGATCGCGGACTATTCTTTATTATAAGTGAATCGCCATGCATTCTTGGGAAAGATAGTAAAATGGATTTCTGTTGCTGCCAAATTTTGGAATTCAGAGTCTTAGACTGGTTACAACCAAAATTTAGAGATTCCAATCTAGCCTTCTAATTAACCCATCGAAGAGAATAGACGGATACATGCTTTCTTCAAGGGTATTTGTGAGAAAGAGAACGCAAACTAACCCAGAATTTGAATTTGCCTCTTGGCTCTGACTTTCCGAAACGATATCCGGTACATTGCACGCAGATGCTTATTTTCAAAGTCGAACATATAAATTGCGACAGTAGAGAGGTCACTTTGTCTTTCCACATTTCCAAGATTTGGAAAGAAACAAGTGCGTTACATTCATATTTTTGCTGCATTTTACGAATGAAGAATGAGAAATGTTTATAAATATTTTTCATTCAAGATTCATGAGTATGTTGAGAGCCGGTATACGCATTGAGAGATAAACACGTCTGTTTCTTGAAATACCCACAAACAACATGGCAGACTCGGAGTATGAGTCCACCTAAAAAATGTAAGACACAACAAGGACCACTATATATGTATACAAATAAATGATAATATATTAACAATAAAGGGTTACATATACAATAGAATATTGTTGAATGTTACTGAACATTGAACATTAATGTAGAAAACATTTAAGCTAAAGAATTGTTTGCGTATTAATAGTTGGATATGGAAGAAAATCCTAGAAAAATATGATGTGAAAGATGCGTATATACGTGTGTGTGCGTATTGTTTATACGTGTCCCCAAAAGAGAACACGTTCTTCCGCAAGAAATTTACATGTTGACCTCTATGCGGGAAAACGAGAAAAAGAGAGCGGAAAAGGTATCGCCGAGTATTTAGAGATCGGAAAGTGGCCCCTAGTAGCGTTTTCGAAAATTAGGAGCAGGTAACCCCACAAGTATAACTGACCTAAAAAAAGTAAAAGATATATTCCCCGAGTAATTTATTAATGTTAACGATGTCACTTGAAACTGAAATTGTTTTCAAGGTTTCAAACTTTGTAATCTCTCATGCAAATAACTTGGCATTAATCCTGAGAATCTAAATGCATATTAGAATACCGGTTTGAAATCTTAAATGACTTCAATTATTGTTTGTTTTGAATGAATTTCCAGAATTAATTGTTCTTTTTTCACTTTCTTTTGCTAAGTATTATTACGTTATTCATGAGGAATTGTGTTATATTACTGTAATTTTTATGTTTCTTTGTCATGTGTTGACGTATAGACGTTAGTCGGAAAATTGATATGCTTTCCTTTCGGGAAAGCAAGTCTACGAGGAAGTGTTGTAATAATATATCCTAGATATTTTTTTTTATATATATATTTTTTCAGCGATATAATAGCAACAATGCAAATAAATAGCATGGTATTATACATTTCTTTTGGTCATTTTTATGTGTATTAAAATGATCTAAATTTAAAATAGAGCACTCTTACATACGTAAGAAGGGATTATACAAACGGTGGACTCTCTTGTCGTATTCAACGTATGAGGGTCAGCAACTAAGTTCTTAAGAACCGGCAGCCAGACAGCAGCACATATGATTTGATTATAGTGGTGAAGGATTTGTACAGCCCTATACAGACTTTTGAAGGGCTGAATACAGAGACCAGCTGAACTACATGCCATAAGTTCCTCAAACAATCTTCCACAGGTTTTGAATTCAGAGATGTCCTTCTCCTAGACCAGTTGCCATCCAAGGCTATAGAACCCAGTCTGTCCAGCTAATTATGCATAGCTGGGGGGGGAGAAGAAGAAGATTCATACATTTCACAAGGGTATTAGCATGTAAATGAAAGTAACCGATTCGACTGCAATTCTAACCCTGCTCTCTTTATTAAAGATTTGAGAGTTCCATGAAAATATGTGGATACAACGTTTAAAAACGCACTATCCAGCCGGGCTTAACCATGAATTTAACAATATAGATAGTATTAATATATAACCCTACAAATCAAAACCTACACACATTTCTCACCCACACAAAAAAACACACATGGTTACGGAGGTGTTGACACCTCACACTTATGCACACACCCACACGAATATACACACTTACACACATCATACTCACTCACCCGTAATTAGCCAAATGATAACACACACCCATAGTAATATACACGCTTACACACATCATACTCAATCACTATAATAATATACAAACCAGTGTGTCTGAAGATTTTAATTTTTTAATGTTCATATATATATATATATATATATATATATATATATATATACTACTGCTTATACGTTATTTTTATAGATACAAATATTTATGTAAAGGCTCTGTTTATAATAAGAATTATTAACAACATTTACCGGTCTGAATGTCCGATAAAAATTTCATAGAAAATATGTATCTACCGATAGGAATCGAACCTGTTTTCTACACGGAACCATCATATAACCTGACGTGCTATACCTCTTAGCTACCGAGGAAACGTCTAGTTAGCTAGGTCTCATTAGTGTTTTTTAGATTCGGCTGAAATTCAAATCGGCTCTCCGAGCCGTCAAACTGATCCTCTGCCCACTATTCCTCATTATTTGTATACTGCTTTTTACGTATATATATATATATATATATATATATATATATATATATATATATATATATATATATATACATGGGTAAATGTGCTCAATATCAGAGGTCAACATTTTGTTCTATTATTGAATGCAATCTTTCTACCATTGTCATATTAAACTGCTGTAGGTAGACAGATAGATAGATAGATAGATAGATAGATAGATAGATAGATAGATAGATATGACCAGATCGAAATTTATATATATTACCAGCTTAATACTGATACTTATAATATATACACACATAAATACATATACTTATAATATAATAAAGACAAATGAATAAATTTTTCTTTATTCATATTGTGCATTTTAGATATATTTTTACATATCTGAAATTTTATAAAATATATATATATATATATATATATAAATGGATATCAATTTTTCAAGATTGCTTTCAATTCAATAGACTGTGCTCTCACTTCTCTCTCTATATTTTCTCTCTCTATCTCTCTCTCTTTTCTCTCTCTCTCTATATATATATATATATATATGTATATGTTGTTAACAACTTGTTAACAATCTTGTGCCCGACGAGCTGGTAAACCAGCGAAACTTTAGTCGCACATCAAATCGTAGGTACACTTTTATTAACTAATTAACATATATTTTTGCTTAGTATAACTACATAGAACACTATTATTTTTAGACCTCATGTGCAAATTTGACGATTATTTATTTGCTCTCCTGCGTATGAACACCAGCACACGAGTACACGCTTGCTTATATCTAGCCATTTGATTTATCTATTTTTATATATATATATATATATATATATATATATATATATATATATATATATATATATATTACTATACTAAAAGTAATCGAATTTGTGTATATTTTTATATATACGTTGTGAAATAGTTACAGAATCCTTTCTTTAAATATTCCTGGGAATTCTGGGGAATTTTTCAGTTAAGTTATCGCTTTATTTCCCACACCTGCAAGACTATGAGATTTATTTCTTCTTCCCTTACACGCTGTTGACCATATTCTTTTTCGCCGACCAAGACATTCATCTCCCCAGTCAATAATAGTTACAATTTTAACCCATGATAATTTCTCTACTTGATTCTTATGTTTGATAATCGAGTTCTCGCTGTCTAGACACGAATATCTTCATCGGAACATCGGCTGATTACTTACTTTGGAAAGGAAATATCTTTTCGCGTCGTTTTCATCAAGTCTGGGATACGCTGCCGCCATGATTACGGCGCAGAAATGTGGTCGGACGGGAGATCTTTTCCCGGTTCCTCGCTGTTGGCCCGCTCATTCCTTTCTCACCGCTTTGGAAAACGGCAAGACGATTTCACAGTGATTCTTTTGTGAAAGAAGGCAAAAAGAATTCCCAATCCTGAAACGTAGACATTTAGGCGGACGATTGGCCGGTCAGCAAAACCGACGGCGTCGATTAATCCATTCATCTATTCGTATTGTCTAACTTCGTACTTCGTTCAATCCCAAAAAGCTGTTGATTGA